CCCCAAAACCCCAAAACCCCAAAACCCCAAAACCCCTAAAATTATATATTAATTTGAAAACATTACAAAACTAAGATATGGAAGCTTTAAAAGAACTGTTGCCAGAATTGAACTTTGATGAAGAGATAAAGGAGAATCCTGAGCTTGAGAAGTACATCAAGAAGGAATGCAATGAGGCTGAACTCACTTTTACTGACCCAATGAAATTGGAAGAGGCCCCTAAACTAAATTCTGATTTTAGAAACTATGTTCTCCTCTGTGGTCTACCCATTGTCGATGAAGGCAAGAAGGAAAAACTGTTGAAAGTCATTATTAATGTTCTAAAGAAGAAAGGATTCGAGGCCATTGATGAAGAGAATATCACTATTTTACTCAAGGAAGACACTGGAAAATCATATGGCACTGCTTTTATTAAGTGCGATGATGAGACTGACGCCAAGCTTGTCCAAGCTCTCCTTCATGGATTTGCTCTTGGAAAAGCCAATAAGATTCAAGCATCTACTTTTGATGAATTTGATAGACTTCTAAGTGTGAATGATGAATATGTGCCTCCAAGATTTGCCGACTTGACTGATCTGTACAGCTATGCTATGGATCCTCAGAATGATCAATTCTTAATCAGAGAAGAGAACGAAATCAAGGTGAAGATGAACAGAATCCCAAACAGGACTGACAAGGAGACTAATACTGTTAATTTCCATGAAGAATTGGTCGGACCAAATGCTGATATTCAAATCATCTCCAAGAAGAATGCTTTCTGGTCACCACAAGGAAGATATCTTGTGATCTTTAAGGAGAATATGGTCCAATTATATGGTGGCTCTGTTTTCGAGCTTGTTAGAGAAATTGTCCATGCTGGAGTATCCAACTGTACTATCTCTCCATGTGAGAGATACATCATGACCTTCACCAAAGAGAAGAATGCTGGACAAGGAAACTATATGTTCTGGAGAATAGACACTGGAGAGATGCTCAGATCATTCTCTTTTGATGACTACACTCCAAAGAACAGTCCTCATGATATTTTCAAGTTTTCTTTTGATGGAAATTATGTTGCCAAAATGATTACCGATCATATTGCTGTCTATGAACTTCCAGATATGCAGCTTCTTGAGGATATGAATATCGGAAAGCGTGTCTCGATCAGGATCGAGCATATTAACGACTTCAAGTGGAGTCCAGCAAAGAATATGATCTGCTATTGGTTCAGGAACCCAGAAGATGAGTCCAATCCTCCAAAGGTTGGATTTATTCATATTCCAACAAGAGAAGTCTGGAGTGAAAGAGAAATCATCAATGGTGTAGACCTAATAACTAAGTGGAGTACTGACGGAAGCAAGTTGATCACTATCAATAAACTGAAAAGAAAGAAGCAATTCTTTAACACTGTATCAGTCTTTGATGTAAACTCCAAGGGTATTCCTGCTGAAATGATCTCGATCAATACAAATATTTTGAATGTTTCATGGACCTCTGCCACTGATAGAATTGCCATCCTCGCTAACAGAGAGAAGAAGATTCAGGAGAAATGGGCTGATAAATCCCAAATCGCCTCTACCATTGTCTTTGAAGTTAAGCAAAGAGATGGTGTCTTGAAATCAGAGAGACTCGGAACCACCAAGGAGCATATCACAAATGATATTGAATGGGCTGAAAACGGAAACATCTTCATCGCTAGTGACATTAAGAACGCAAACCCAAGCTATCAAGGAAAATTCTACGTGTACTACATCAGAAATGTGGTCACAAAAGAAGAAGTCAAGGCTAAAGGAGGAAAGGGCAAGAAGGGCAAAGGCAAAGCAGGAAAGACTAAATTTGTTGACAAAACCGAGCTTGTGATTGACTTAGTCGATGAAATTGAAGACCTTAAAGCTGACACTATTAACTGGGACCCAACAGGAAGGTTCTTCAGCACTTCTTACATTCCAGCTATCAAAAGTAAGTTATAAATTTTAATGATTTAGGCATGATAAGGGCTCAGACAACACCGAAATTTACTATTTACAACGCTAAAGGAGATGAGATCTACAGCTATTCAGTTCCTAAACTGCAGCAATTTGCATGGAGACCACGCCCAATCCGGAACTGGAGCGAGAAGGTAGAGAAAGAGTTCCAGAAGGAATACAATAGCAAACTCAAGAAAGTACTTAAGGTAAGCAATATTATTGAATAATTTTAACCATTGTATAGGCTGAGAGTGATGAGAAGGGTGTTATTGAGATGATCAAAGTCACAAAGGAGAAGACCAAGGAGAAATTCATGGAAGTCTTCGCACCTTTCATGCAGAGATACAAGGATACTAAGAAGGAAAGACTCGCTCTTTGTCCTGACGATGACAGTGATGAAGAAGAAGAGTTTGAGAGGAGTGTGATCGCTGATTACTATTAAAGAAATCCTTGACTTTCAATATATGTTCACATAAATGGGGTTTTGGGGTTTTGGGGTTTTGGGGTTTTGGGG